CACTGTGGCGGCTCGAGACCACAGTGGCGGGCAGGAAAAGCAGCGTGGCGGCCCCGCACACAAATTGAATGCTGGGGAGAACACTGAAGTAAATAACGTGTTTGCAGACAGTCTAGAAAGTTATACAAAAACAATCATCCCATTGAAAACACAAGTGTTAACCATCGATCAATGGAAAAATGTTTATACAAATAAAAAAAAAATTCACTTGATGATAAATAATACTTATATTTAATGTAACATGCATTCACTTTTTTAATTTTATTGGTAAGTAATAACGAAAGTATATTCTAAAAGAAGTTTCAAATAAAAACAAATGCAACTGCATTGCTGAATAGCAAATGATCACGATAGCGCAATCCGGTCATGCTGCGTTTGACAATTGTTGATTATTACTTAGTAGTGATTATTAATAACGTACAAGAGTAAATTTGTTGAATTTTTATGAAATGCAAGTAAAATTCAACTTAGTTTCACCGCATGTAAATGCTCGATGTGATACAATATCCACCATTTTTGTCTCTAACAAGTTGACCTGATAGGTCAAATAGCTAAACAACGAATTAAAATGCTGGATGATGCCAACGTGTTCAAATTACTATAGCTCATTTGAATATGTTAATGTTAATGAACGCAAAACAGAAGAGATTTGCTGATGTTTTCAAAGATAAACTGAACATTTGAAGACTAACATTGTTTACGGTGATAACAACTAATTGTCGAAACGAAGCTTTACCCATTCACGCTAACCACAATAAACATCGTACTCTTGAATAGTGTTGTTTTGACTTGGGTATTGTGTTCTACATTCCAACGTGGAACAGAACATATTCTTCTGTTAGAAGAACACTGATTCACACAACACATAAACATGTGATAACACCAGGTCAGGTCAGACATGATATATCATAAATTCCACCCTGTTTCATTACTGTAGCCCCCCCCCCAATTTTATTACAGTTTTGCTAACATGGCTAGATATAGTACATATTGATCTTACTTGATTATCGTTCCTCTCTTCATTTTTAATCGTATCCAGTGTTGCCCTTGACTACCATCACTTTCCCAGTACGTGTTAGAATTACCGTCTGTCAAGCAGGCTGCACTGTCATCTTCCTGGACATGGTGATAAATTAAAACTTATGTCAGCCAATAGTTAGTGAAACAGCATCAATATAGTGTTATAATACCACTTTAAGTCATGTGACCCATTGTTTAACTACTATTTCTGTAAATCCATTGTATTCATGCTAATTGTAAACTGGCCATACCCAACTATTGAAAAAGTTGGACGTTTTCGGGAATTGACGCCTTCAAATGGTTTTTCGAATGAATGCGTTAAACTATCCATGATGAAATGTAGAAAATAAAATCTTTTGTACTTTTTATAAATTAACCTATGTTCGTGGGACAATTTCACTTACCCAAAAGTGTGTGTGTTTACAGATATAAACCCCACGTTTTTATCGGAATCATGTAAATTGCAATTCACTTTGTTGTAGATTTTTATATCTGTAAACCCACACTTTCACATGATTTTAATACATACATGTAGATTGAGAGGTATGCATAACTTCTGTGTTCAGGCTGGGATTACTAACACATAAATATTACCACAATTATAGCATTTACTTCTCCTTCAGGCACACAAAGGTCAATTTGAACATATATTACCACAATTATAGCATTTACTTCTCCTTCAGGCACACAAAGGTCAATTTGAACAGAATCTATCGTTTACTACCTCAATAAACCTTAGATGCAAAAAGCTACAGAATCTCATTGAGAGAGAAAGAGACACACTTGTTTTCTCCACTCAAATAGCGTTCCATTTTTTTTTCAAAAGTAAGTAATTAGTCTTTAAGTAACAAGTACAAGTCTAAATTTCACATTAAAATGTTGTAACAATATTACATTTTGCACATTTTCATGTATTTTTGATGATTTCTTTGTTAATTTTAGAACTAATGGACATAAATACACATTGCCAACAAAAGTTAAACATTATACATGTATGTATTTACTAGTATTTTGACAAGAATCTCATTTGAATGCATTAATTATTTACTATTACAAATGTAAAATCAAAGAAAGCTTAGAAAGAACTCCCAAGTGCTGAAGGTATTGGAGTCATGAAGTACAAATAAGGAATACAGTATTTACTATATTAGAAGCACATTTTCATTACACATAAAAGCATTGTATTTATTCAATGCAAAATCATTGCAATATGTCTTATTTTGATCATGGATTTGTCATTGTCCTTTATTTTTACAGTAAGCACATGTGCTTCTACCTAATAGAGTAAATGATTAGGGTGGTTCCAAGTAGCCATTACTGTAAAATACTTTATTTTCGCTTGGAATTAATTTTTGCTATTTTCGCTGAAGGAATGATTCAGTGAAAAATAAAATCCAGCGAATATACCTTTTTTCCTATATATTCCTATATTCAACTTATCAAAAATCAGTGAAAATAAATTCCATACAACACCCAAAAAGTCTTTTCAGTGAAAATTAATTCCAGCTAAAATAAAGTATTTTACAGTAATTAATATGCAAATTATGTACGGTAATTGGTATGCATGGATTTCAACCAAAAACTAATCAGGTCTGTGCATTATCCCAGAGCAGATATGTACCAAATTTCATTAAAATCTGATAATTGGTTCTTGAGATATCAGTGGAACAGACACACACAGATAATATAGGTGATTCCAGTGTTTCATAATAAGTGCTTTGTATTAATAATTGTACTTTAAAATAATATTCATAAGATATGTCTACGTCATAACTTTGTTAAAGTTATTATTAGCATATTGTGTGCGCAGTGCGCATGCTTCGAGCCCTTTTTCTGCATTCCACAACGTATGCGTCATCAAAGTGAGGTCAATTGCAGATTACATTTTATACAAGGTAATGTTCAGCACCATCAATGAGGTTTGTCAATTAACCCTCAACATTGTGTTCATATTCGAAGAGCACACATAAGCGAGGCTACTAGATATATGCACCAGCTAACAAGCCACACCAACCTAGCAACTGCTCAGATTTGTACACACACCCAGCCATGTCTTACATGTTTTTATTCAAAAAGATTTTAATAGCTAAAACTTTCTTTATAACATGATTTTTTTTTTATAAATGGTGTTTGAAATGGAAGATTCTGATATGTATGTTATCATTTACCCACCGATTAGTATTTTTACAGTAGTTGCTGTGTTAATTCCTGGATAACTCTTTCTTCCTGAAAGATGAGACTTTATAACCTTTCCATTCTCTATTTATTACCCACACACCATGCCACCTGTTTTTATTCATTTTCATTTCAGCTATATAATTACATCACATATTAATCACTGATATATTTCATTTTAATGTCTGTAACCCCAGAGTTTAACTTGTGCTTATTAGCGGGCATTCAACCTATTAAATAAGAGCGGAAAATTCATAACATTTTTCTGTTTCAGAAGTGTGATATAATTGGTGATTCAAACACAAGTTCTCAACTTTTGGGCTTTTTTTTACCTAGTACAAAATATTTTGCTATAGACAAACAGAACACATGCAAAAATGAAATTATTTTTCATAAAAATAAGTATTTGTCAAAATTTTTCAATAGTTCAGGACAGCAATGACTATTCATTCCGTAATTACAAAAGATTTTTTCACCATATGTACCCCAAAATTTTGAGATACATGTATGAAGAAACTGTTTTTTACCAAAGAACCAATGGAAAAACCAACATTTCCATGTTTGACATTTTTTTGTGTGAAAACTAGTTCAGTAACCATGGCTTTTTATCTGGATTTTGTAAAGAAATCTAGCCAACCACCTTAAAATCCCAAACCATTACAGACTTCAGCTACTCTGATTGCATTCACAAGTAATGTTTACATCAAAACACAATTAACAGGAAATTATATTTGGCTTAAACTGCCTTGAGTTTCTAATGACAATATATTACCACCATAAATGTGTTACCTTTAATACATTACACATATGCCCAGAATATTCTCTGTGGACATAAAATTGACCCAAACTTAATTTAATATATTGGAAATACGTGATGAAGCAATTAAGATACTTACACACTGAGATGAGACATCAACAGATTCAACATACTGGCTCACACTGCCAAGGTTCTCATTACTCTGATGAGTATGTTCACATAAAAATTTAGCTAACTCGTCATCATATTCTATCGTCCAGTTTGTTGGAGGACTCTGTAATTTTTTAACTGCTGCTTCATTGCAGGATGCAATTTTACAATTTCGCTTCAATAACAAAGAATACTTCTGCTCGATCACACCTTCCCAGCTACAAAAAAAAAAGTTTAAAGCATGTACATTATATCATGGACAATTCCGTAAATCTGGGAATTGTTTGTGATATATGTGTATAAATTGAGGACTTGATGATTAAGGTTGTTTGTTATAGTGTCACAAAGAAATTGATAAGTTTCTCATTTTTTACACAATGGGAGATCAATTTTATTATCAATATTAAAAAACAGGGGTCCCCAACCCTGTGTTCACCATGCCAAATTTGCATAATAATAGAATATGTTAATGCCCTGTCTATTAGTCATTGTCATACACAAGTGTGTTCTAATGTTTATCCTAGATGATAGTAGGGGAGAGGGGAGGAGAAAGTTAAACATGACCCTTCCAAATATAAATGGGTAACTGACCTATTTTAAAATGTATTCATGTATTAATAGTTTGCCCTACATTATGGTAATACTTGTGACGTAGAAACTGCAACAACCATACTCAAGTATAGGTTATGTTGATTCCTTAAAACATTAAGATTTTCTATCGTTTTGCACTGAGATTCACGAGTTATACTTGATACAAACAGGAAAATAAATCCCAGGAAATATTAAATGATGAGATAAACTTTATTTATAAATGGCCGCCAAAACCTCATTGAGTGCCGAGTCACATGACTTCTTTTTGCCTAGTTTTGTTCCATACTCTGTCATAAGCGACAATGCATGTGCATATAGTGTAGATATATGACAGATATGATGTCTGATGTATGAGTGAAATTTAAACTTGTTAGGCCTAGGAATGTCAGATATATTGATTTGAAACTGCATTCTGCATTTCATTTGAAAAATAAAACAGTGTGCATCAATGTATTATTGTGCTTAATGTACATGTATGTACAAAGTTTAAAACATACATGTATCTGTCTATGCATGACTGAGATCTTGTTTCAGAATCCTTAAAAATACATGATTTTGATGCATTTGGCCATCTTGTGTGAAATACTGCTAGATACGGATGAACACACACACAGAGGTCAATCTTAAAGTCTCAACCTTCATAAAAAACCACTTGTTTATAAAGCCAATTTCAATGAAGTCCCTTAAGTGATCGCTATACACAGGTTTGACTATAGCAGAAACACAATTCCTACCTCTTTATCAGCTTTGGATGTGCTCCAAACATTCGTTGATGTACAAAGTTTGGCTGGGGATCTTCAGTTATGGTAAGAGATGCATCATCTTCATTACTCGTTTTACTATCAAATAATAGTATCCAGGCTTCAGAGAAATTATTCACGTTGAAATACTCATCCAGTGTTTTCTGTTAGAGATGAGATATGAAGTAAGCTATAAAGGAATAACTACATGTACCATGAATTTACATGCATGTGTTAGTGCATGTACATGTATGGTACTGCAGCAGAAGAAAAACAATACATATAAATAACAATTTTTTCACAATTTTGATTTAGTGAGTGTTCTCATCAAGTTTTAAAATCACAAATTTTCCAGTAAAACAAATTCAATTTTAAATTTACAGGGATTTAAATTTCATCGGATTTCACTAAATGGCAAAATTATAAAACCCAGTGTATTACGATATTCCGAAATGGGAACATTGTATTATTACAACATTCATATTTTTGTTTGTGTATATTA